GGTTTCTTTGAATTTTAGGATGGGTTTTTTTAATTTCTGCAAAAAACATCATTGGGATTTTGCTAAGGATTTCATTGAATCTGTACATCACTTTGAGTAGTATTGACATTTTAACAATAAGTTTCTAATCCATGAACATGGGATGTGTTTCCATTTATTAATGCCTTCTTTAATGCCTTCAGCACTATTTTGTGGTTTTTATTGTGCAGATCTTTTACATCTTTGGTTACGGTAATTCCTAAGATTTTGTTTGATGCTTTGGTGAGTGGAATTGGTTTTGTAATTTCCTTTTCAGGTTATTCATTGTTCCTATATAGAAATGCAACTGATTTTTGTGTGTTGATGTATCTTGCTACTTTGCTGAATTCATTTAGTTGATGCAGCCGTTTTTTTTTTTGTGGAGTCTTTAAGTTTTTTTACATGTAATATTATTTCATTTGCACAGATGCTTTTACTTTTTCCTTTCTAATTTAGATGCTTTTTATTTCTTTTTCTTGTCTAATGCTCTGACTAGAACATCCAGTCCTGTGTTGAAGACAAGTGGTGAAAGCAAGCATCCTGACCCTGCTCCTGTTCTGAGAGGAATGGCTTTCTGCCTTTTCACCACTGAGAATAATTTTTCGTGTGTGTGTGTGTGTTATATTTTTGGCTTTTGTTAAGTGGGGGTAGTTCCTTTCTATTCCTATTTTGTTGACTGCTGATACCATGAAAGATGGTGGGATTTTGTCAGATGCCTTTTCTTCATCACTTGAGATTGTCTTGTGGGGTTTTTTTTTCCTTCATTGTATTGATGTGGTGTATTGTATTAATCAATTTTTGTGTGTTGAACCATCCTTGCATTCCAGGAATGGATCTACTTGGTCATGGTGTATAATAATCCTTCTTTAAAAATTAAATTAAATTAAATTAAATTAAATTAAATTAAATTTTATTAGTTTTTTAGACAGTGAGTGTGGACGTGAGCAGGGATGGGGCAGAGGAAAAGGGAAAGACAGACTCTTAGACAGGCTCCATGCCCAGTGTGGAGTATGACAAAGGGCTCAATTTCATGTCCATGTGATCATGACCTGAGCCAAAATCAAGAGTGGGTTGCTCAACTGTCTAAGGCACCCAAGTGCCCCTATTTTATTTTATTTTTTAAAGGAAGCATAATTAACATACAATTTTATATTAGCATAAGGTATACAAGATACTGATTCAACAATTGTATACATTAGTGCTTACCACAATAAGTGTAGTCACCAGCTGTTGCCATATGTTATTACAATATTACTGACTTTATTTCCTGTTCTATACTTTTCATCTCCATGATTTATTTAATAACCGGAAGGTTGTAACTCTTAATCCTCTTTCTCTGTTTCACCCATCTACCTACACCTTCCCTTAGCAACTACCAGTTGTTCTCAGTATTTATGGGTCTCTTTTTTGTTTCTTTGTTCATTTGTTTTGTTTTTTAGATTCCACATGGAAGTGAAATCA